AGGGAGAAGTTCACCTGTGCTATAGGAACCCTGGCTGCATTCCAGTTGGCCAGAAACTCTTGGTTCCTTGATGGGAAGGAAGAACTTAGCATTTAAAGGTTAATACAGATTACATCAAGGCTAGTCAGAACATGCACAGTTTGATTTGCAGGGACAGTATAGCTGCCGTTTCAGTGAAAACTGGTACAGTGTAGAGCAGGGGTCTTCAAACATGACAGTTTTAAGACTTGTGGACTTCAACTCCCAGAATTCCTCCTCCAGTCATGTTAGCTCAGGAATTCTGGGAGTTGAAGTCCACAAGTCTTAAACTTGCCAAGTTTGAAGACCCTTGGTGTAGAGAAAAATAAGGAATCATAAATAAGATCAAAGGAAGGAATGCTAGGATGACAGAAATATTTTCAGCAAGTAATATAGAAATGAAAATGAGTGCTCTAAGACTCAGATATGAATAGAACAGCTAGCTACATTTGTGTTGATTACACAGATACTGTATAGGAGGGAAGAGTGCTTTGTTTAACATCAAAATGAAATGGAGCCAAAGTGGAATATTAGAAATAGTAAAACAATGAATGCAAGAATCTTTTTAAAAATATGCTGAGTTGGTATTTCAAAAGGTAATTTTATGTATGCAATTTACTATGAATCGGATATTGCTAGTTTCATTAATAATATGTACTCCTGGCTAGTTCATTGCACTAGCCGGAAATACATATTATTAAATTACACCTGGCATCAAAGCACCAGTGCCTAGATGCCATCTTTAATGTTATCAAATATGAAAATAATAAAACAAATTTTTAAAGCAGAAATAATACCAGGCAATAAGATATTGATATTCTTACTTAAAATGATGTAAAATTTTATTGATATGAGATCACATGAAATACTTTGAATAAAAATATTGTGATTTTTTTAACATTTTATTTTTTTAAGATTAGTGCCCTGAATCTAAGAATTAGCTGGCTCTTGATTAAATATTTGATGTTAGGATTTAAAAACTTGATAAAGGCTAGCCTACCCTAACAAAATTCTAGTTGGGCAATGTAACTGATTCATGTTCTCCAGTCTATAGAATAAATTTACTATACTTACGTATTATCATATATGTAAGGAGCCTCTGTGGCGCAGTGGTTAGAGTGCAGTACTGCAAGCTATTTCTGCAGCCAGCTGCCTAGAGTTTGGCAGTTCAAATCCCACCAGGCTCAAGGTTGACTCAGCCTTCCATCCTTTTGAGGTGGGTAAAATGAGGACCCAAATTGTTGGGGGCAATATGCTGACTCTGTAAATCACTTAGAGAGGGCTGTAAAGCATATAAAGCGGTATATAAGTCTTATTGCTATTGCTATCAGCATGGTACAGTTATTGATATGCTGAACTGGGGGTGGGGGTGGAATGGAAGCCAGCTGGAGGTTCTGAGCCAATCACTTCTTTCCATCCTAATCAGAGTTAGACTATGTATCAGGCCAGCTGATAAACAAAGTTTCCTTGTTGCTTCATACATAGATAGTTTTGCTATAATAACTAGATAAGAGCAGTGCAAAAACAATGAAACACTACAATCATGCAGGATGAAGGTAAAAAGATGCTAGAGTTTTCTGTTATAGTGCGATAGTAAGAAGCTTACCAAAGATCATGTATTTGGTTTGCTTGTGTTACAGAAATGGAAAATGTGTCTTGTTTTAAACCTGAAACAAACACACCAGGTTTCAAAAGTTTTGTAAAATGATTCTATAAGGGCTGTGATCTGGCAGAACCCAAAAGACTTTGGAATGATTTTATTGATCTTGGTTAACTCTTGAAACTGTTCTGCTGAGTACCCCTGCCATTCTGCCATTCTGTAAATCAATACTAGGCTAAGGAGCAGTTTAGGAGGATTTCAATCTTTCCCAGCACGGACTTCTTGTTATTAACAATGGGGCAAAATAATTTTCATCAAAATCACTGTGGAAGTGAGAATTAAAGCCAGTCCAGCAGTTTCTAAGCTGGAAGGCTGACTCAACCTTGAGCCTGGTGTGATTTGAACTGTCAAATTGCAGTCAGTCAGCAGAAGTAGCCTGCAGTACTGCACCACCACAGTTCCTGCAATGCTCTTTTTCTTCTTCGTCGGATGTACTTGTAACATTCATGCGTCTAACTACACTTGGCCAAATAAGGTATTCTAACGTCATCATGCTTATACAGGATTATTATTTTTTTCAGAATTATTTGATGTTTTTTCTTTTTTTCATAGTTGAAATACCTCTCAAATTTCAGGAATTATTTCAGGAATAAAGTTTATGAGTGTACCGTATTTCCCTGTAAATATGTCCTACCCTGAAAACGAGCCCTAGTCCAATTTTCACGCCTGTGCCCCAAAATAAGCCCTAGTTCATCCCTGCCCACCATCTGGTTGTATGAGGTGGGGAGAAGCGCGGGTGTAAAAATCAAGATAGGGTGGGAGTGGGGGGGTTGGACATACGCACTCGCCTACCTTAGGACCATTGCAGCCAGGCCTCCCACATCCCGATACCTGTCATGTCAGTGCCCGACTTATTCTGCAGCCACCAGTGAAGCCACTTGCGTGCTCAACAGCGCAACACAGCAGCAAAAAGACAGTGGGAGAGAGGGTGGGGCTGGCAGTAGCAGTGCTCCCACTCCCATTGGCCACTGGCCTCCTGCACATCAAAAAAATAAGACCTCCCTGAAAATAAGTCCGAGTGCTTATTTCAAGGCCCGAAAGGAAATAAGACCAGGTCTTATTTTTGGGAAAATATGGGTAGAAAAAAAAAATTAAGGTTTAGCTTTATTACTTTGGTACAGTTAAGGCTATGTTTTCATTACTGTTACTGACAAAATAACATTACTAGATTGTTAATCAAATTTATTTTTTTTGAAATATAGCAACATTTGGAGCTTTTTTACTTTAAAAGAAATATGGGGGTTCAGGAAATGGTTCTGTATGTAAAATTATGCATTATCAAAGCAAATAAACATGATTATTTATTTATTTATTTATTTTGTCAAGCGATTATAAGATAACAGGTATAAGTATAAACATAGTTATGAATACATGAAATGGATACATATAAGAAAAATAAAAAGAAACAATAGGGCAGGGACGGTAGGCACATTGGTGCGCTTGTGCACACCATTATCATGCTAGGTATGCTTATAATCCTAAATTCTTGAGCACAGAGATTAAGGAAGAACTTTGTATAATGTAAAATTGTGTGAATTTGATGGGAACCAACTTGGGGGTCTTTAAAAGGAGAGCAGTATTTCCAGATGCCAAAGCAGAATGTTATGCATACTACTGGTTGTTGGAAAACATTAGTAAGAAAATGCCAAGGCTCTCAAGTTTTATTAATGGTTTACCAGAAATGCCTGATAGATAATTATGTACAAATGCTGATCTTTTACTGGCTGTCTTATATCCCGTTAAAGTGATTATAAATATTTAGTCATCAGTTCCACATAAGTCAATTTGTTTAGTATCATTTGTGCATTTCAGAAAGATTTGTTAAATGAATCGATTATAAATTGCAAGAGATTTTTGTTTAAAATGTTAAAATGCTGGGATGTAGAAAGCTGAGATCCAAGACTGATTTTTCATCTATGTGCAAAAATGAAAGAGTTGCTGTATAAAGATATCGTGTACTAAAATACCTTTGAGAGGCTTTTCCATAAAAGGCAATGTGAATAGAGTAGATTCCACAATTGTCAGTGAATCAACAAAACAGAATCTTAGTAATATAGTTTGTATGATATGCTGTGGACATTCTAAGTTTTAACTGGAAATCTGATCATAAAAATTGCTATATTAGCAAACATTTCAGAGACATTAAAAATACAATAACTCATCCAATAAGCTATGTACTTATAGATAATAAAAAGACATACTGCTGATTATTCATATTCTTAAGAAGTTCAAAACATATAAAATATTCAGATTGTAGTGCTTTTTCTGTATTTATTACATTCATGCAGAGTTTATATCCTTTCAAATTTTTAAACATGCTTTTTTGTAAGTTTATCAGCAGTTGTTGTCACCTATAAAGCTAAGATTTATTCATGGAAATTAGAGAGATATCAAGTGGTAAAAACAATGAACTCTTGTGACATCTTAAAGTAGCATTTCCCTTTTTTCTTCACTGCCAAAACTCTCAAAAAGTTCTTTTTACTACTTATCAGAATGTCCTTATTTAAATGCCCCTGTGATTTGTGTATTATTAGTCAAAGAAAAAACCCTTTTATCCAATTTTAGGGAATTTACCAAGGTTTGAGAACTGTCTTAAAAACTAACAAATTATCTTCAAGGAATGATAATCCACTGAGGGTGTTCTGTTGCTGTAAATTAAACTAATTACCCCTCTGGAAAACCTTTTGATAAATTTAATATGCATATACTATGCCACCTTTGTATCTATGTTTTAGGTATATAATATGCACACATATAGAAAATCATATCAATGTTTCTTTATAAATATCCTGTATTTTTGTTATTCAATATGCAAATTCAGGATTATCTCAGCAACACTGGAACTGGAACTAGTGAAAATAGCCATCCAAAGACATAAACTGATGAATACATTTATCACATTCACTCATGGCTTAGTCATTTTTCAACTGTTGTACTGCAAAGTACTGTACATAGGAAGTCACAACTGATCCAGACTATGTAGTGTGCACTATTCTAGGTGTCTTGCAGTTTGTCTGTATTATAGTCCTACTGTGCAAGCTGAAATGTCAAATGTTAAGTGTTTTTCTCCTCAGGTATTTTTGCACTGTATAATGCTGTTTGTTATCCAACAGAAAGAAGCTACCCTACCATAGTTTTCCAGTAAATGGATATTTTGTTCTGATTAATTAGCCATAATAGCCATTTTATGAACAAGCATATTATAGAAATCTAAGCCTGTTTGAAAAAAAAAACATTTTCTTAAAATGAAATTGAAAAAATGAGTATTGAATATAAATATTAATGTTTATATAATCTGAGATTTGCTTTTTTCCCCCTTTAGTTCTCAGACTATTGTCAGAAGAAAAAGGATTTAGAAGAAAGCACCAAGCAATCAAAAATTGGGCGGCAAGATACTGTAAGTTTTATTTCAGAACATTGATTAGCAACCAATCAAGCCCCATTTGCCATGTGTAATTTTGCGTGGTGACTCAAAAGCCCTAAAAAAATTACTATATGACAATATCATCAAATCTTGTGACATTTTTATACTTTTATGGTGCCTTCTGAAATAATTGGGGGAGGGGAATACCATGGCATCCCTGTTCTGCCATGTCCCAAGTCCAGATGGAATTCCAATTTGAAAATATTATAGCTGTCAGGATGAAAGTATAGGTTTTCTATAGGTGGCAACTGTAGAATGCAGGGCTGTCTGTGTTACCTAAAGCATAGCTCTGTAATAGTACTAATATTATATGTTACATGAGGGGAGTTTCTTTTAAATTCTATTTTTAAATATATTTTAGAAATTATTTTATTTTTAAATCCTTTCATAATTTGTTACACTTTTCTTTAAAGTTATTCATATCATACTAGATTATGAATGTGGATTTATAAGGACTGCAACTAGAGATGCATTCTAATAATCTGCACATACTTGAACTGGTATTGCCAAAAATACACATGCTTTTTCACTTAGCCCTGAAATATATATTTAACAGATATAACAGTATAAATTCTGTCTAATTGCTGCCTCCATAGTTTTTGATTGTAAGAGATGCAATATCCAGTTTGGTTGCTCTGTGTATAGACTTTTAGCTGCCCTGTTAAGACAGTTTGTTGCCCGGGATATACCATTGTGGGGGTAGTCTATATTTTATATCCCTTCTTATACTTCATAGTTCAAGAATGTCCACTCAGGAAATTTTAAGGTACCTAGGATGACCTCACCCCAGCTGCACCAGAAGCAGTTAGATGGTTATCTTCCTTAGATATTGAATTATAACATCTATCGCATTGAAATTCCATGGCTCCTTATTATGGTGATTTTATTATGATTTTATTTTAATATACTATCTCCTATATTGTATTGTCCGCATATTAATTATAATACTGACACTTTATTTAAATTAAATTTGCATATGCTGAATAAAATAAAAATTATGTCTCATTGTATTACTGTCATAATAATATTGTGTTTGTGTGTTATAGAAAAAAAATGTTAGAGTACTATAGTATTATCTGCTACGTTTGAAAGAAATTGGATTCTCTGTATGCACAGTGACCAGAAAATTTGATACATTTTAATGATAATGATGATTATTTTATTTTGGATTCTCTCAAATTAAATGTATTCAGGCAGAACGTGCAGCACTAATAAAGGAACTTAGTGCCTTACAACAGAAGAAAGACCATCTAAAGACAGAAGTAGATAAATATAAAGAATGTGATCCAGATATTGTTGAAGAAATCCGTAAGTTTTGTTTAGTATTATAATACTATACTGATTTTTTTCCCATAATAATCCCATTTTCATAGCTTTCAAACAGTGGTATTTTCATTGATGATTGTTTAACTCTTGATACCTCCTTCCTGGTCACAATCACTATATGCTTCCTTTTTGGTGCGTGGGTGGGTGTTGTATGCTAAGAGTATGAGTGCAGAATATAAGGTATGTTTTGGAAAACATATAAATTGTAGCTTGGATTAGATGTCATATCTGTCATCTTGGTTTTTCTTATAGTGTGGTTATGACTTCTTATGAAAGGACCGGATAAATCTATGTCAAAGGTAACTATGGAGATTAGTGTATAAGGAGACAGTCAAGTGGCATAGAGAAGAAAGAAGAGAAGACTTAGAAAACTGGTTCAGCTGAATTGGTGCACATGTGAGCAGTGGATAAAATAACATCATAATGGCAATATAGTCAGTGAGATGTGGTTATTTTTGCCATTTTTGCTACCCCTGGTTGAGTTAGTATATGACTATGGTTACCACCATTTGGATGGCTAATGAAGATCAGTGCAGCCACTATTTGTAAATTAGGCTTTCACTTTGAAATCAATAAGGCTGTCTCAGAACTTAGCTGTTGAAATGAATGATATTATAACCATGTTAGAAGATGTCTGCTAAGAAGAGGAAAAACTGTTTTGTTGCATCTACCTACTGACCCTCATGGGTTCACACTGATTTATTTGTTTGTTTGTTTGTTTATCAAACATGTAGAAGAAAACAAGTATAGGTATGAACATAAACATGAACAAATGAAATAAATACAGATAAATGGGGACAGTAAGACAAGCGTGGTAGGCACGCTAGTGCGCTTATGCACGTCCCCTTTAAGGACCTCTTAGGAATGGGGTAAGGTCCATGGTAGACAGTTTGAGGTTGAAGCTGTGAGGGATTGAGGCTGTCACAACGGAGTTGGGTAGGGCGTTCCAGGCATTGACCACTCTGTTGCTGAAGTCGTATTTTCTGCAATCAAGTTTGGAGCAGTTTACCTTGAGTTTGTATCAGTTGTTTGCACGTGTATTATTGCGATGGAGGCTGAAGAAGTCATTGACAGGCAAGATGTTATAGCAGACAATTTTGTGAACTATGCTTAGAACTTAGATATGTTGACAAACAGATATAGGTTAAAACTATTCAGACTGAGTGTGGAATCCCTTTTTACAGAGGAGACAGGCTCAACACAAAGGCTCAACACAAAGACAGTAGGATTTAGTAAAGATAATAGCTGAATGACGACAGAAGTCACTCTTTGTAGCTATTTATAATAGGTTGATTTGAATAGGACCTGATAGCAGGCAAGATTGGTTGGCAAGAGCACAGGTTCTTCCTGTAGGAATGAAACAATTCTGGAACAATTTTCTGTTATTTTCCATATGACAGACCTTCAGAAGTTCATCTCTTCAGATATCATGTCTTCCTGTGGTTTTCTTCAGAGGGACATCCAAAACTCCAATTGATTTTTTATTTTCCTTCCCAGGTCTCTTATCGACTTGGTTGTTCTCTGAACAGGGTTCAGATTATCAGTGTGTTTTATAATATATGGTGCTCAGAACTGGGCACACTATCCTAAGTACAGTCTGACTAACTAAGAGTAGAAAGAATGAAGACTTTTCTTCATCTGAACACTACTCTGAGTGATGTAGTTTAGAATTAGTCCATTTCTCTCTCCTTCCCTCTCCTGCATAATACACCCGATTCATATTCAACTGTGATACTCCAAAGCAGGTAGATTATTTTCACGTATACTTCTGCCATATATGTTTCACCCTATTATCTTATATTCCTGCCTTGGATTAGGTAGAATGTGCAAGAAAACATTTTCTCAAGCAGGAGAAAAAAACATATCTGAAGAAAAACAGGTTAGATGCTTTGAACTTATGGATTAGGCAATCAATTTTGAAGTAGTAAAGTTACCTGGAATATTAAAATTCCCAGCATCATTATCTTCTACGTTCTCTTTCCTCTCATGTTCTCTTTTATCTTCCAATCCTTCATGGGTGGCTTTAACTGTTTTGGTTTGGGAAGAGGGTTCCATACCCCACTTTTTTTTTTAATGTTTGTATTTCTATAAAGCTCCGCTCACAAGTTTTATATATTTTTCTTGTGCATGACTGGGACAACTTTTTTATAATAATTTTTATGACAGTTTAAAAATACAAAGGTTAAAAAATGAATACAAACTGAAAAAAATATAAAAAGTGCATAAAAGAAAAAAATATAAAGAAATTACTTGCTTCTTCATTAAGACAAGTACAATTTCAGTAACTTATCACCATCCCTATCATTTATATAAAAGAACACTTTTTCCCAAGTTATATCTCATCTCTTATCTATGAACAAATTATAAACATAATTCAGTCCTAGTCAGCAAAAGTCCCTTTGTGTTACCAGAAATAACAACATACATGTTATATATAATCATATCGGTTTCATATTTATTTTTAATAGTATTATCTTTTTCTTTAAAAATACAAAACAATCTCTTCTGCGTGTATCTATTATCTATAAACAAATCTTTAAAACCTCATCATTCAGACCCAGGCAATAAAAATCCATTAACAGCTACCAAGAACAACATATTAAGAATCTTCATCTTTTTAAATCCAAATCCAAAATAGCCTGATTCTCAGTGGTATCTTCTTCCAGTTCCTCCTTTAAGCCTATTTTTATGATAGTAGACACCTTAATAGAAATTTCCTAGTATATTTTCCCAAATATCCTTGAATTCTTCCAAAGTTAAATAAGTTCTCCTTTCTGTATTTGTGGGTTTCTTTTTTTAGTTCTTTCTGATTGCCTCTAGTGTCCAGCCTTCAAAGTCTCCTCTTATATCATGTTTTTCTCTAACCCGTAACATTTTTCCATTGAAAGACTTTTTATACTTAGATTCAAAGTGTTGTACTGTATCTTTTAAACAGGATTTTAAGCAACCCACAAGAAAGATTCTTATAATTTTAAGATGTTATTGCAAATCCAGTTGGCTTATTAGTCCATTTATAACTTTCCATATCAACATTCTAATCACTTTTTGCTGTTCGTTTCAGGTTTTTAAAATTCTTAAAACTTAACACATGAAACTTTTTTTTGCTGAGGATTAAAGAAGAATCATGTAGTATGATGAAACTTGTTGTGTCCCATATTCTTATATCTAAAAGCAGTTAAGAAGCAATTTTGTAAAGCGATTAAGAAAGGAAGTGAGCAAACCCAATATACATTTGAAGTCTCCAAACTCATGACTTAAACAAAGCCGACTTCGAGAGTTCTAAATCAGGAGTGTCAAACTCAAGGCCAGTGGGGTGTTAAGATCAGGCCCATGGGGCTGCCCTGGAAACAACGATGGACTGGCTTGTTGTTGCCTCTGCCAACGAAAACGGAGCCTGGGAGGGCCACGAGCAGGAAGCCCATGGCCTCCAGCCCTCTGCCAGTGAAAACAGAGGCCAGGCTCCATCCTGGCCACGCCCACTCCCCCCTGAGGTCAACCACAATCCTGATGCGGCCCTCAATGAATTTGAGTTTCATACCCATGCTCTAAACCCTGAAAGTGCTCACTGTTTTTGTCTGTTTGCAGGGAGCCTCTCTTTGGAACATGCTTTAGTAATGTAAGTTTTGAAATTAAGTTTAAATGTCAGGAATAAATGCTTTCAGTTATTAACTGTATGTTATTGGCAGTAAAACACTCATACAAGTATTTGTGGATAATAAATACTGAGAAGTGATCACTTAAAATATATTGTCTAATCTGCTTTCAGGGTGTGAGTAAATTAGCTTCTCCTTTCCTTTTATATAAAACTGCCTCTTTAGTTTTAGTTCCTTTTACTTTTACTGGATGAGTTACAATATATCCTTTGTGCAAATAAAATTTTGGATGATCCTGTTTGCTGTTTTCCATGAAATCATTAGTTGCATGTATGTAGGTAAGCATTATCTTTTGCCACAACGTGTATTATGGATTTCTCTTAAATTGAGAAAATGCATAAGCAAAGTCACATCTGCCTTTACACTTCAGAGCAAGAAATATTAAAAGTTAGGCCTATATGGAACTGCATTGTTAAAATATTTGTTCTTTGAGTATTAATCAGCATGCGTTGTAAAATCTAGTAATGCCAATAACATTGCTATTCAAAAACCATTTTCAAGGATTAAATAACAAAATATATAACTTGTCTTTTACCTAGTTTGTTTGTCTTTGTATTCAGCAGTGGAAGATGATCTAAAAAACCTACTGCTGTATTTTTATATAACTACACAGTTACATAACCACACAGAGTAATTCCCAGTCTCCCACCCCTTAGATATCTGGATAGGAAGCAACTTGTCTTTATTATTTTGTATTAGTGCGTATATTACAAAAAAGAACATAAAGCAAATTCTTCCTTTTATCATCTGTGAGCTAGCTATTTGTTTCATCTCATAAAAATATTGCTAATTACTAAAATTGCACTTCATATCTAGCTTAATGATACAGTGTAAAGGTGTGGAAAATAAAGCACAGAAGATTTCTAGTTGATATATACAGTTTATGATAAATGGTGACCTTATGGCGACTTATAAGCAAAAGTTCAAAAACTTGTTCTGACAAGTATATTGCTCTTTCAGGGACTTTCCAAGGATTTATTGGATCACTACTATCCACTGTATCCATTGACTTTCCTTTTCTCGTTTCTTGCCAAACACAATAATTCTTTTTAATCCATCATGCACTTACATCAAAGTATTTAAGTTTCTTCTTGCTGATTCTTGTCTCAAGGAAGCAATTAGCCTTTGTTTGATCCAAAACTGATTGGCTGTTTCTTCTTGCAGACCCTGGTACTCTTGTAATGACCTCCACATCCATAATCCAAGGTGTATGTTTTTCAGTCTTTCCCAGTCTTCCCAGTTTTTCAGTCTTTCTAATTTTCACAATAATCAATTACTGTTAGAAAGACTATGCTTTAATTATTCTGATCTTTGCTGTGATTGAAATGT